GGGTATAATCTGAAGATATTCTCAAACATACTAAGATAGGCGGTCAAGGGTGTTCCAGTGGCACAGTTTGTGGCTAATTCTAATAAAATAAGAAACATTAGGAATAATCCAAATGTCTGTTGTCTTAGCCCATCTTCTGTAGTCAATAACACAATATCACAGATTGGGTGTATTATAAAGAAAAGAGCTTCATCTTGGGTCATGGTTCTGGTCCAGCACCAAGAAGCTGCCTGCGGTCATAGCCCTCTTGCTGGCAGAGCTCCGAGGCAGTGCAGGGCATCATATGGCAAAGGGAGCGAGAGCATGAGAGACCCAGCCAAACTGACTTTTATAGCAGATGCATCTTGAAACAACTCATTAACCATTAATTCCATGAGTGAGTTAAGGGACAAAGCCTTAATTACCTCTTTAAGGTCTCACCTCCTAATATCTCACAATGAGGATGAAATTTCAACCTGAGTTTTGAAGAAAACAAACCATAATCAAACCAAAGCATCTTACAAACAGGGAACTGGCTGGGACTGACATTGTGACACATCAGTCAAGCTACTACTTGTGGTGCTTAGTATCTCAGAGGACTGGTGGAGTCTGCTCCTCCACTTCCCATCCACCTTCCTGTTTATACACCTGGGAAAGTGGTGGAAGATGGCCCAAACACCTGGGCCTCTGCCACTGATGTGGGATACCAGGTTGGAGTTTCTGATTCCTAACTTCAGGCTGGCCCAGACCTGGCCATTGCACATTATAGCATAAAGCTTAAATCTGTGTTTCTCAAATGTGAACCACAGTAGTCTAATGCTGCTTTGTATATACTGTAAGTGCTACAAATCGTCTCAGTACTGAACATGTTTTAATACCTCTCAAATTAATGCAACCTTTGATGCAGGTGTTTTGAAATGCCTCAGAAAGTATCTGAGTGTCTGGGAGTTTGTTAATCTGTTTGATAATGATTACTTCTAAGTAATCCTATGATCAATTTTTTGAATTTCGTTTCCAGTATTTCTTAAATATCTCCACTTTAAAAAAAAAGATTTATTTATTTATTTGAAAGGCAGAGCTACAGAGAAGCAGAGGCAGAGAGAGAGAGAGAGAGAGAGATCGAGAGATCTTCCATCTGCTGATTCGCTCCCCAAATGGCGCAATGGCCAGAGATGGGCCAATCCGAAGCCAGGAGCCAGGGGCGTCCTCTGGGTCTCCCACATGGGTACAGGGGCGCAAAAACTTGGGCCACCTTCCAATGCTTTCCTAGGCTGTAGCAGAGAGTTAGAAGTGGAGCAGCAGGATCTTGAACCAGTGCCCATATGGGATGCTGGCACTGCAGGTAGTAGCTCCACCCACTGCACCACAGCGCCTGCCCCTAATCTCTCATTTTCACATTCTAGTACTGAAGCGTTGTTGTGTTCCTTTGCAAGCATCATGTTGTCTTCCTTATTCTTGTTTCTTGAGTTGCTGCATTTATTTTTAGGCATTTGTGGAGACAATCGGATTTTTTTCCCTCTGATGGCTTTTACCTTTGGACTATGCCTCTGTGGCTTAGTGGAATGTCTGCTCTTTCAGTGAATACCCTGAGGCGTGTGCTGGGTGTGGCCAGGGAGCTCTGTTCAGTGCTCCAGGGTGAGGGGAGTGTCCAAGGTGACACCCAAATTGGGTGTGGTAAATCTCTCTTTTTTTAAGCATGCTCACCTCCTCTCCTCCAAGGAGATAAGTGCCTGGTTGCTAGCCCCAGTGGATATAATAATCATTTACCCTGCCGCAAGAACCACACAAAGGATCCAAGCAGTCCTTGGTGTGAGCATGGATCCCACAGCAATGACCCTCACCAGGGAATCAGGGAGCCCTGAACATGTGAAGTTACCCACAGGGACTGTCCAAAGACCTAGCCACACCCTGCACCCTCATATGCAGCCACAGTGTTTTCACAGTCCCAGCACATAAGGCTCCCTCGGTCACGGGCACCCAGCCCCTCTGTCAGTTCTCCCAGCCAGACCCGTGTGTCTACGTTCAGCTGGTTGCTGGGCGCATGGATATGAGCTGGTGCAGCTGTTACATATGTCCAAAATGGCCCCCACCCTCTCTCTGCTAGTTATAGGACACTGGTGCTAGGTGGTTGGGGACAGAGAAATGTGCCTCCCTTTTTTCCCCTCTAGGTTGGCAGGCACACTGTCCTCTACAGGGCTCCAAGCTAGACTCATGCCAGGTTCTTCCCACAACTTTATTGCAAGTGGCTTGGGCTGCTGCAGTCTAGTCTCACCTCACACTCCAAAGCTGGTGCTGAGACTCTCGGCTTCTAGGTTCCCGAGTTGAGCACATCCACACCCTCCACATAGGTCCACAGTGTCCCTCTAATTTGCCTGGAGCTTCCCCTGCCATTTTCTACCTAACTTCCCTGAGATTGCACTCTCTCCATTTTTTATTTTTAACTATCTTCCCCTAGATTAAAGCAGCAAGCTCCCTCCCTATTCCACCATCTTGGTCACAAGGGCTTTTCAAATTTTGATAGTGGTTTTCTTTTCTTTTTTCTTTCTTTTTTTTTTTTTTAAGATTGATTTATTTGAAAGGTAGAGTGACAGAAAGAGCAAGAGACAGACTGAGAGATAGAGGGAGAGAGATATTCCATCCACTGGCTCACTCCCAAAATGGCTACATCAGCCAGATCTGGGTGAAGCCAAAGCCAGGAGCTCTATTCTGGTCTCCCATATGGGTGGCAGGGGCTCAAACACTTGGGCTATCTTCCTCTGCCTTCCCAAGTGGAAGCAGAGTAGCTGGGACTTGAACTGGTGCTCAGATATGTTATGCTGGCATTGAAGGTAGGGGCCTAAGCCACTGAGCCATAACTCTGGACCCTTGACATCTGTTTTCAAAGAAATCACCTATATCTGGATTTGTGGTATAGCAGGTTGGGCCTTTGCCTGTTGTGCTGGCATCCCATGTAGCACCGGTTCGAGTTCTGGCTGCTTGGCTGCCAATCTAGCTCCTTGCTGATACACCTGGGAGAGCAACAGAAAATGGCCCAAGTGCTTGGGCCCCTGCTCCCACGTGGGAGACCTGGATGAAGCTCCTGGCTCCTGGCTTCTGGCTTCATCCTTGCCTAGCCCTGGCTGTTGTGGCCATTTGGGGAGTGAATCAGTGAATGGAGGGTCTCTCTGTGCTTCTTCTTTCTCTGTAACTCTGCCTTTCAAATAAATAAAAAAAATAAATTAAGAAAAAGAAAGAAAGGAAAAAGAAATCACCCTTGGGGGGATCTTGTTAAGACTTAGACTCTAAATCAGGAGGTCTCCAGTGAGGACAAGACCCTGTCTTTCTACAAGCTCTCAGGCCATAGACTGCACTTTGGGTTTTGAGACAGCCAAGGCTTTGGAACCCAGGACACAGTTTCCCTTCCTCATCCTCAGCATGGAGTGCTTGCACCCCATTTCAGGGGCCTTTATTCCTAGAGAACCAGCATACTGGTTGTGCAACATTGGCTGAGTTGCATCAGAATGCATTGGTTTGGCCTCCAACACATTGCCTGGACTTCTAATTCAGTCCCAGTAAATGCATGCATGCAGGTCTCTGGAAAATATGTTGGTTTAAATGAAAAGTCACTGGTTGGGAAATAAACGTGGGATTGCAGTGAAAACACATTGCATTAAATAGCACACATGATTCCCACCAACAGATGCTAGGAAGTAATGTTTTGGCTTCAGTAGCAGTTCATTGCATTCACTGGAATGCTATTTCTTTTGCTGAATATGTATGAATTTTGATAAAATGCTTTGTTGGAAGAAATCAGTCAGGCTCTTCTATACAGTCCAGTTATAATATCCTTATTTTTATATTGCCACACCATCTTCACTCTTGTTTGTGGATACATATTATTTTTAATGTTCCATATTGCTTACTGTGGCAGTAAATACAACAATTTTTTTCCTTGAGTTTATAATGGAGTGAATGTATACACTGAACATTAGGGAATATAAATGAGACTAGGTTCCATTACATTAATTAGAAGATGTCTTTAAGACTTTCATCTCAAAATATTTTTTTCTGCACTGGCTTTTGTATTCTAAAAAATATTGGTCTGAATCTAGATCTGATTTTATAGCCACAATATTGTATACTAAACAGATGGAGGCATTGGCACTGTTTGATCAAATAGATGATGTAATTACAGTCAAGCTTCACAAGAAAGCAATTTATTAAACTGAGGACAGAATGCTAACTTGTACCAAATTAATATCTTGCAATGAACCTACATCAAACAGAATGATCCTGAGTGTAGTAATCACTGTCCCTACGCAAAGACATCATGACGGAGTAGGAAAGGGACAAGGAAGATTTTTTTTAATTTCTTATTAATATAAAGAGAAAAGATTTCATACGTAAGATTTTAATGCGATAACCATAATGTCATCCCCTCCTCTCTCCCTCCCTCAGTGCCCTCTTTTGGAAGGATTCTTTAAATTGTAACAATGTTCCAATTCAGTCTTTTAGTTAAAGATGATGCAAAAACAAGCTCATCCAGTGGTCTGTTGTACAAAATTATTCTTGAGTCAACGTGATAATTTAGGGGGGTGCAAATACAAGCTACAAGACACAGGTAGTCGAAGGTCCTTGTGCTGGACTATGTTGAATGCAAGCAGGGGAAACGGACCTTCAGCTTTTCCCCCTTTAACTTGATGTTGGCTGTTGGCTGTTGGCTTGTCATAGATGGCCTTTACCATGCGGTCCTTCTGTAACTAACTTGCCCACAGTTTTTTCATGAAGAGATGTTAAAAGGCACTATTTTGCTCATCAAGTCCAACTGGACAAGAAATTCTTAGAAAACTTAATAGCTGAATGTGCCTCTTGCACAGGGGAGCTGACTGTTACCTCTAGGTGTTGGGAATAGAGACAGAATGCTTGGGTTCCCCCAAATCCACATGCCAGAACCCTACCCTGCAAGGTGACAGCACTTGGAGGTGTGGCCTTTATGTCAGGAGGTTAGAGTCCTCATGATTGCAATTTGTGACCTTCTGCAGAGACTCTGGACAACCACTTTGTCCCTTCCACCATGTGAGGACACAGGAGACAGTGCTGGTTGTTACCAGAAGGCGGGCCTTACCAGAAGCAAGTCTGCCATTGTATTGGACCTCCCAGCCTATAGAATTGTGAGAAATAAACTTCTGCTGCCTGTAAACCTCCCAAGTAAAGGTAATTTTGTATAGCAGTTCAAGTAGACGAAGACAATTGGTATCATCTTGTTAGGCCAATTATAAAATCCAAGTCCAAGTCAAAGCTGTAGTTCTCCACACCTATTGGAAGATCCACCAACTTCTCTTTTCAAGTTTATTTCTAGAGCATCATTCTCCTCAATGGCCCAGTCTAGCTAAAAAATGCATCCCCTCTTCTCTCACAGAATCCAGCTATGATATCCTGTTTCTTGAGGTGTGGTCTGAAATTTATTGGGGTCCTGTATCATGGTGGGCTGAGATTTACTTTCAAATAGCTTAGAAAAAAAAAATACTATAGTATCTCCTATCCCTCTCTCTCAGTACCTTTTTCTATAAATCACATCATCTATCAATCTATCTATCTAATATCATCTATGCATTTATCTGTCTCCATTTTATATTAGCTGTTCATCTATTGAGAGATAAGCAACAATAATAAAATAATTTTTAAATTCAAATGAGAGGTATTTGGATGTTTAAACTTTTTTAAGCTTCTGATTTTTGTTTGAGCTTACCTTTTTAAAAAAAATCATTTATTTATTTGAAAGAGTTATGCAGAGAGAGGAGAGGCAGAGAGAGAGAGAGAGAGAGAGAGAGAGAGAGTTCTTCATCTGCTGGTTCACTCCTCAGTTGGCCGCAATGGCTGGAGCTGTGCCAGTCCGAAGCCAGGGGCCTGGAGCTTCTTCCGAGTCTCCCACGCGGGTGCGGGGGCCATCTTTTGCTATCTTCCCAGGCCACAGCAGAGAGCTGGATCAGAAGTGAAGCAGCCAAGACTCAAACCGGCGTCCATATGGGATGCCGGCACTGCAGGCAACAGCTTTACCTGCTATGCCACAGCGCCAGCCCCTGAGCTTGCTTTTTAAAAAGTTGGGAGACAAATGCGTGACCCTGACTGAGTATAAGGAAAAGGAAGAAAGGACTGAATCTGTTGTGTTTCCTGGTGTATCACAAATGTGTGATGGATGATTAGTGCTAATAAGTGCCAAAAATTGGTAAAGAGAAGTTTGAGATTTCTGGGGGAAAAAAATCTTGCTTTGATTTTCTGAGCCACCACAGCCCATCATCCATGGAAACAACCCTCACTTTTTTTTTTTTTTTTTTTGACAGGCAGAGTGGACAGTGAGAGAAAAATACAGGGAGAAAGGTCTTCCTTTGCTGTTGGTTCACCCTCCAATGGCCGCCACGGCTGGCGCACTGCGGCCGGCGCACCGCGCTGATCCAAAGGCAAGAGCCAGGTGCTTCTCCTGGTCTCCCATGGGGTGCAGGGCCCAAGCACTTGGGCCATCCTCCACTGCACTCCCAGGCCACAGCAGAGAGCTGGACTGGAAGAGTAGCAACCGGGACAAAATCCAGTGCCCTGACCGGGACTAGAACCCAGTGTGCCAGCGCCGCAGGCCGAGGATTAGCCTAGTGAGTTGCGGCACCAGCCAAAACACCCCTCACTTTAATAAAGGATGTCACCCTTGTCCCCATGTGGAATTCTGTTCCGTAATTTTTTTTTAATAATTTTATTTATTCACTTTCATTTTATTTGAAAGCCTGAGAAATAGACACAGGTCTTTTATCTCTTGCTTCATTCCCCAAATACCTGCAACAGCCAGGGCTGGGCCAGACTGAAGCTGGGAGCCAGGAACTCAACCCAAGTCTCACACATGGGTTACAGAGACCCGACGACTTGAGCCACCACCTGCTGCCTCCCAGGGTGTGCATTAGCAGAAAGCTGGAGTTGGAAGCACAGCTGGGACTTAATCCTAAGCACTCTGGTATGGGGTGTGGGCATCCCAAGTGGTGTCTTTACTACTGTGCCAAATGCCTGCCCCTCTGCTGTGATTAAAGAGAGAAGCACAAGATCTTCAAAACCAGGAAAGAACACAGGAAGGATCTGAACCTGGGCTCTGATGTGGGATGCCAGCTTCATAGGTGGCAGCTTAGCCTGCTGCACCACAGTGCCCCTGCATTTCATGATATTAAGGCAGAGATCACTGTTACCCAGGCCAGTGCGTGCCTCAGGGACTCCAGCTTCCTCGTCCTCCCGCAGGCTTCTAGGGCTGAGCCAGCTGGCTCTTGTTACTGGCAGGGCATTAGGGATTTGCCAGCTCTCATCCCAGAGACTCAGTTGGCCTGATTGAGGCTCTTCCTTCTAATGCTATATCAACATGCCATAACCTGTCTCGGGGATTTGGACTCTCCAGACCAGTCAGTTTTCCTGTGCCCTGACCTTGTGGGAAGAACTGTGAGCTCGAGGCCAATGTTGGTGGTATAGTGGGCTAAGCCATTGCCTGCAGCACTGGCATCCCATATGGGCACTGGTTCAAGACTCCAGCTGCTCCACTTGAAATCCAGCTCCCTTCTAATGCACCTGAAAAAAGCAGTGGAAGATGGCCCAAGTGCTTAGTCCCTTGCACCCATGTGGGAGACCTGGAAGAAGCCCTGGGCCCCTGGCTTTGGCCTGGCCCTGCCCCAGCTATTGTGGCCATTTGGGGAATAAACCAGCAGATAGAAGATCTCTCTGTCTCTCTCTCTCTCTGTCTCTGCCCCAAGCAGAGTACAGAATTCCAGCACTCTTTCTTCAACCACCATGTATACTGTTGGGCCCTTGAAGCAGAATGTGCCAGTCCTAGCCAAATGTCCTAAGGCTGTGTCCAAAAGCCTCGCTTATCATTTGCTTCATGTGATCTTAGCCAAAAGGCCGAGAAGCAATGCTGATTTGCTTCAGTGTGTGTGTCACGATCAAAGAGGATGCAAATTGCAAAGTCAGGAAGCTAGTCTTGGGACAGGAGGTGTAGTGCACTGGGTAAGCTGCTGCTTGGGACTTCCGCATTCCATTTCAGAGTGCGTGCATTTGAGTCCTGCCTCTGCTTCTAATCAAGCTTCCTGCTAATGGACACCATTGGAGGGCACCCTTGGAGAGACTTGAGTACTCATGGCCATGCCACTTACATGGAGACTCTAATGGGGTTCCTAGCTCTCCTGACTCTGGTGTGATCCAGCCCCATCTGTTGGGAGCATTTGGGGAGTGAATCAACATACGGAAAGGTCTCTCTCTCCATCTCAATCTCTCTCTCTCCATCTCTCTCTCTTTCTTGCTTTGCCTATCAAATAAATATTTAAAAATTGGCAAAAGACATACATAGACATTTTATTATTTTTTTATTTGACAGATAAAGTTAAATAGTGAGAGAGAGAGAGACAGAGAGAAAGGTCTTCCTTCTGTTGGTTCACCCCCCAAATGGCCGCTATGGCCAGAGCTACGCTGATCTGAAGCCAGGAGCCAGGTGCTTCTTCCTGGTCTCCCACGCAGGTGCAGGCGCCCAAGCACTTGGGCCATCCTCAACTGCACTCCTGGGCCACAGCAGAGAGCTGGACTGGAAAAGGAGCAGCTGGGACTAGAACCAGCACCCATTTGGGATGCCGGCACTGCAGGGGGAGGATTAACCAAGTGAACCTCAGCACCAGCCCCGACATACATAGACATTTTATAAAAAGTTAGTATTTTGTAATCAATATTGAGACCTGATCATTTCACATATTTATTCTTTGGCCTTAAATATATGCCATTGGGAGGTTTCTGTAATATTCATGTTGGAATGACCCTTCCTTTGCAGTATCCAGAGTCACTGGTTTTAGGCATGCCTTATTCATTCATTCATTTGTGTTAATCATTCAAAAAGCACTTATCAAGGGTCTATTATGTGCCAGCTTTGCATAAACAATGAGCACAATAACAGGGCCATTGCTTGTGAGCAGAACTTCCTCTTTTTTTCTTTTTTCTTTCAAGATTTACCTATTTGAATATGAGAGTTATGGAGAGTTATGGAGAAAGAGAGAGTGAGGGACAGAATCATCCATCAGCTGATTCATTCCCCAAATGCTACAGTGACCGGGGCTGGGCCAGGCCAAAGTCAGGAGTCAGGAGCTTCTTCTGGGTCTCCCACATGGGTGCAGGGACCCAAGCATTTGGACCATCTTCCACTGCTTTCCCAGGCACATTAGCAGGTAGCAGCTGGGACTTGATCAGGCGCCTATATGGGATGCAGGTGCTGCAGCCAGAGGCTTTACCCACTGTGCCACAAGGCAGGTCCCAGAATTTCCTTTTCTTGATATGTTCCTCTCCCCCTACACCCTGCTGCCCTTACTTCATGGGACTCTACAAAGACATGCCAGGCCACAGCCCAAGGTTTTTATTAAAGCCCCTAGTTGAAGACTGATTTTTCCAATGTTTTATTGTAAAAGCTTTTGAGCACAGGGAAGCTTGAAGGATTGAAATGCTTAGATGCTTACCCACCAGATTCACCAAGCAACATCCCACTCTGCTTCCTTTGTCACACATCTGTCCATCCTGCCGTCCACTCACCAATATACTTTTTCTGGATGCACTGCAAAAAATGTCACAGGCACCAATAATTTACTTTCACCATGTACTCCCAACACAAATATCCCTTGTCAGAGTTCAGTACTGATTTGGTGTTTGTTTGCAATGAAGTGCACAGTTCCCAAGTTTGTTAGTAAGTTGCAAGTGATGCCCTATTCCATATCTGCACATGCAAACCTCATCAAGGTATACTGCACTGGGGCCAGCATTGTGGTGTAGTGCATTAAACCATCACTTGCAACGCCCACATCCCAAATTGGAACACTGGTGTGAATCCTGGCTACTCTGCTTCGGATCCAGTTCCCTACTAAAGCGCCTGGGAAAGCAGAGGATGATGGCCCAAGTGCTTGAGCTCCTGCACCCATGTCACCCAGGTGGAGTTTCTGGATCCTGGCTTCTGCCTCCTGCTGACCTAATAGTTGAAGCCATCTGGGGAGTGAACCAGCAGCTGAAGATCTGTCTCTCTCTTTTTCTGTCCATTCCTTTCTGTTGTTCTGCCTTTCAAATAAACAAATAATCTTTAAAAATCAAGCTCACTCAGGAAGCTCTAGAACACCCCCCTTTTACAACCATTGCCCACCTCCCCTCCCAGCTCTCAGAGGCCACCA